AAAAAAACGGCGAATTTTCAGCAGAAAAACTCTTATTACTGGGCCCTTACGAAAAAGTCGATAAATTTTGAAGCTAAATTTAGAACAAAAAAATTCTCTACCACGTGGCAAAACCCCTGTCAAAACCCCCTGGCAAAACCACGTCAAAATCCCTGTGGGCCCTTCATACCTAAAAATCGAATGACGTCAAAATGTCGGTCTGTCCGTCAGTGAACAACACCGTTCAGCCGATTTCTCCAAAATTGATATTCCCCAAACGATCTGGCTAACGTCGCGGCCTCTTGAATTTGAAACCGATATTTTAATTTTGTGCGTACGTTACATGAAGTCTCTGCGACATTTTCGAAAAAAAAAATGGCTCCATCAATATAGATTAAATTTTGTTGTTGGATAGCCTGAAAGATATTTAAGAAAATGGTGCAGGTTTCATATTGGTTAAAACTCCTGATTTTTCGAAAATTAATATTTTTTGGCGTCTTCCTATAACTACAAGTATGAAGATACAATTTATTTTCTAAACGAGCCGTATTCATCAAAAACAAATATTCAAATAAGCTCATATTGAATTTTTTGAAAATGGATATTTTTTTAAATTTGGCGACAAACATGAATCACCCGATCCCAATTTACTGCGCTTCGTGAACGTAAAATGAATTGTGATGCAGTTGGATGCAACGTAAGTTAGGATTTCTATGTTATTTCGTTTTAAATTGCGTCCACTGTGTTAAACGTGAAAACGAATAGATGAACGGCCATTATGGCTTGTAACCCATTGCTGTGATGCAGCACTGATAACAGATAATGACGTTTGCCTTTCATTCGCAGTAATACAAACTAATCCTCGTCCTTTATACATTTGTAAAATATTACAATACCATATTGTTTAATAATTACTGTATGTTTTTCGAGCAATTTTCATTTGTTTGCAAACGCTATCCATATCGTACTATTTATGAAGTGTTAATTGTTTTATTTTCTCGTATACCGCTTACGAAGAATATTGTAAGTCTAAAACAATCATCCGATATGTTTGTGAATTCACTGCATACGTTACACCATGAATTCAATCCCCAAAATATATTTTCATTTACAGTTTTGTATAAAAGATCTATCGCTTGAAACATTTAATTTTCGCGCCAAATGTTCTACGATTTGAAATGAGTTTTACAAAAAATGATGACTGAAATGTGTTAAATCTGGGAGAAATTGTGGTCTAAATACTACTGCATAATCATAACTAAGAGCGAGAAAGAGCGTGCTGTTTTAGCATTAGCTATTTCAAACAACCAATAAAACTCCCGTTCCAATATCTTAATTCGTTTAGATTTAGTAAAAAAAAACAGTAAAAATTGTCTTTGACGCATAGGGTACAGGATTATCTGCGTACATTTTCTTGAGTTTCAGAATTTCTTCCCAGCATTTTAACTATAAATAGTTGAAGGATGAGTAAAAGTTAAAGATAAATAAATAAAAATAAAATTTAAAGAAACCGCGAGATTAGCAACATTTGAAAAACTAGGTATTTTCGTTTCCGAGTTATAGAAAATGTATTTTAAAATGTTATTAGATTGTAAACAGATTCTCTGGCAAATTTAAGCAGAGACAAGCATTTTATGGCGAATGTGAATAGAACCCATATTATTTATTTTTTATCTTCTCTAAGCAATAGTACGATTTGTGCTGCCATATATTTATCGGCTAGTAAAGAAACTGATTATGAAGACATTATATTGCAAACTTTATGCCGTCGAAATGTTGGCTCATAGAGCAATAGTGCCAATGGTATTTTCTCTCAAGGGGAAGCTGAGCTATCGAAATGTTCTATATTCTGGAATATTTCAAAAGTTCTGGTTCGCGGGCCCAGCGATAGGAAAATTACAAGAACAAATTTACCGATAAGTGTAGAAAGATAATTGTCAATAAAACTAATAGTTTGCCGTAAAATGGAAGCCGAAGACGTGAATTGTTTCTCACTCTAAAACACCTCTTCCAAGCTCGATATATCCTACGAAATTTCAGAAACATTGCTACTCACTTATCACGGCGTTAAAAAATATTGTATAAATTGAGTTTTTAAATATAATCTTCAAAAAAATCGAGCAAGACGCAATTGCGATTTATCAACATTCTTGTAATAAAGTCATAAGTTACTAGGGGAACCCGGCAGACGTTATTTGGTCATGTTCAATGTTTCAAAAACGAGCAATTTTGGCTTAATCCTTAGTAAAACAATGAATTTTAAACAATTATGTTTTTCAAAAACGGCTGCAATTGTTTTCTTGGTATGTAGAAAAGTACGGTAGAGAAAGTGGTGTTGGTCCTATTTTCAGCAAACTTTCTGTATTTTCAAAAGTTGTGAACAAAAATTAACATTGCCAAAGATCCAATTTTCTTAATTTATATATTAGTCCCAGGTGCCATACTTTGCCAAATGATTTTTCAATATCTAGGAAAATAATGTATGCTGTTTGTGATGAAAGACATTTGCAATGTGTTGAATGATTAAAAGTACTTATGTGACATACCAAGGTAAGGTTTGAAACCGAATTGGGTGTTGGGGTTAACACTGTAAGCAGAAACAAATTTAATGTAGTAAATATTAATGTTTCAAAAATGTTTGAAAGGGGAGAAAGTAAACTATTCAGTGTGTAATTTGAGAGAATATTTATGTGGTTTGTTAAAAGCCAAAATTACTGCTATTTTCCATTCTTTTAGAAAATATCCATGTAAGTCCAGATCTATAAATGGGAGTGAAGGCTGTAATAGTTTTTTTCCAATGCATATTAATTGCTTTATTACGTTTATTTATTTATCTACACCAGGAGATTTATGCTTTTTAATTGTATAATTATTGATTTAATTTCTGACAGAGAAATAAATTTTGTTCTTTGTGGAACATGAAGGAGTACATCCATTTCTATAGATATAAACATATTAAATTCAGTAAGTGTTGGAAGGTTTGATGTGAAATAATTTTGAAAGGTTTTTGCAAGTGGGTTTACTTTTTCTTGATCTGTAGTAGCATTGGCCTGTACATTTTTTAAATGGGAATACTTGTTTTTTCTTTAAATAATCGTATTGTTGACAATAAATTTCTACTGTTTGGGTAAATTTGATTAATAAAATGGTAAAATTGTGATGTCCATATATTCTAGTTTAGATTTAATAATTTTAGCTAATTTATTAATTTTTATTTTAATATCACATCCAATGTTTTGCCAAGTTCATTCATAATTTCTTCGATTTTATTAAGTTCAGAATTCTATACGATATTGGTGTGTCTGGGTAACTGCATATGTGATTGGTACTTGGTAGTAACAGCAAGTGTTGAAAAGCATATTTGATAGTTGGTGTAAATTCTGTTAATTTATAAACATATATTATAATGTTATTGATATGAGTGGGATATTTAAAATGTTCATCAATAGTTTGATGAAATTATAATCATTAATTTTACTTATAATTGGGGAGTGTGATTTAGGAGAATTGCTGCTAATTTCTTTTTCCTTAGGACTTTTATCTAGCTGAACACTGGTTACCTTTTCTTGGATTTTTTTTCCAATTTTATTCAGTTTATTCTACACAATTCTCTCACTCAATATATTTCAACTATTATCTCTTTGAAGCACACATAGACATATTTTCAAGATATTCACATTCTAAGGTTTGCAAATTTGTGTTGCTCTGACAAAAATTTAGTAGCTGGATTCAAATTTTTCCAGGAGTTTAAAATTCACTGAATCACATATGTGATATTTTGACATTTCATGTTTTTGTAGTCTTTTGTATGGATATGTTGTTCATGTCAAATCATCCATCTCTATTACAAGTACTCTCCTTAATTGACAAAAAAAGGAGGGGCGTACGGTGATTACTTTGTATACCCCTGGTAGCGGTCAACCAGCTTCCCTCCCTCTTATCCTAATCTTTTTGTCATATGCTGTAATCGTGCCAATGCTGGTGTTGGCCTACCTTTTTCAATTGCCTCAACCTTCTCGTGAAACAATCTCGTTGAAAATGGTCTCCCCAAAATATCATCAATTATACCCTCGCTGGAAGACATACTACGTACACAGAATAATTCCCGAAACTCCATAGAATAAGCATTTTTACTACACTGCAAAGTTTCTGTAAATCCTCACGAACTACGTCACAAACACAATGGAACCTCACTGCGTAACGCAATGCCCTAACACGCACATTAATTCTCCAAGGAGAAAACGCTGTGCTATTCACACTCATTACGTTGAGAGAGAAATACGTGCCCCATAATCATTTTATACGTTATAAACTTATCGACAAACGGTACGTTGATTTATACAAACAAAACATTCCACTTAAAATAATTTTGCTTCGTGGAAGCACTGTCTTTTGAGTAATCCCGTTCGCAGCCAGGCGAGGCCTGGCCTTGAAGCAGTGGGATTGGGAGAAACGCCATCCATCCCCAGCTAGCTGAGTTCAGTGCATTATCGCCTGCCTCTGGCCCAGTGAAGTGGATGCCCAAGCAACACCCAGGCCCAGTGAATGTCAGAGCTGGGGGTTGCAGCACTGCAGCACTGCTATGACGCCGATCAGATCGCGGTGGAGTGTACAGTGGGTGCAATATTTATAATCATGTGACATATGGTTCATTGTAATTTTAATTCTCAAAATTCATCAAATTCTCATTTTTGCTTATCTTAGCAGTGCTGGGATTGAATGCACGCCACTGAGTAAAAGACATGGCCAACAACAAAGCTTAGCTTTAACTCCCCTCCTTGACAGCCATTTGTGTGAATAATGCCAGGAAGGATTGAATTTTCTTGCTAGCTCCACGCACAACCGTGTACGTCAATTATTGTTCAGCATGTCACTTTTGTATATCATTAAAACGAGAAAACGGTGTACTTAGTACATTTGTTCTAATATTAACGTAAAATCAGATTTAAATTTAAAAAAAAGTAAATGACACTAACAATCCGCAGCATTTTAATTCAAAGTGGAAAAAAGTAAATACTTACTAAATAATCACTTTCGTCGCTTGTTTACTCCTCAACAAAGCAGTAAACACACGCGCTACGTGGCGTGCATACGAGTGGAAATCTGAGTCTTCCGTGCAGGCAGACAGCAAGAGAATTCACTGGCCTACCCACAACCCATGTGTGAATCACAGGCCATAGGAACCATTCTACATTCACTAGCGGACAACCCTCCCAAACGCATGCGCAGATGCACTAAAGTGATGTGAAACTTGAACTGCGCATGTGCAGAAGATCAAGAGTGCTTTAGCGTTCGAGAGTATACAAACACCTCAACAATACGTCGACCCAAAACCATGGATGTTTTAATGCTGGTTTAGTATTATGTGCGCACGCTTTCTTGAGCCCCGGAATATCTATCCCCACTCCTTTGCCAACATTGGTTGAATGAAGAATAAATGATAAAAACGAGCGTTGTAGGCAAAATCTGATAACCAGAAATGTTCGCTCCCGGGTAATGAAACTGTTTTGCATTGAAAAACGAACTATAAATATGACATAAAATATATTTTGTCAAAATAATATCACTCCCCTCGCCACTAGCAAAACGAGGACTCAAGAAAACGTACGCGGATAATAGCCTCTAAACAAGCATTCATGCGCAATGAAATTTAATTTAACAGCCCGTGTATAGGATAAATGCGCGAAAAATGAGGGGAATTTTCATCCACAAACAAAACATCGATGATAAAAAAAATCATCGGTTTCAATACATCGATGTCGCATCCCTGACCTTGAGAGACGATACATCATATGGAGCATACACTGATAGAAACCACTTGAAGCGGAAATGTCTCATGCCATGATAACGGAATATTCATTATACATTTACATATGAATAATATTACACCATATTAGAAGTGAGTCATTTTTTCATTATGAAAGGTATTAAATTAGTACTGCATTATTCAGAGCACGCAATGCCTATTCCAAAGAGTTCACAAGAAATTTAATTGTGCCCTACCTGAATGTTTTTTTGAAGTATACTTCTTTTAAAATTCTTTACTCTTAAAAGTGGATTTGTTGTGAAAGTAACTCAATTACAACTTTGTAATTGTGTGTACCCAACACTTTTGCATTAATATAACATGCTCAGGCACTGTTAACTTACTATTCATGGTCAACTGTATTGATAATGAGCCACTGATTAAAATATTCTCAGAAACTGACAATTCTATGCATAATATACCAACATCCTAATTTCTTTGAAACAAAATTTTTTGTTGTTGTTTCTTGCTACTTTAATTACTTGACTTCTGAACAACTGCTAGTGTCTAGTAAGGCCTACCTGTATATTGGTTAAAATTATTATTACAGTTATGTATCTTCTCTTCACCAGTCCTACCTTCAAATCCAAATAACTTAATTCTTTATAATTTCCTTTATCATATACGCTACGTAGAATAGAGAAAGTTACGTAATGCAATAAATTGTTGGCTAGATCTTGAAGTAATGACACTGAAAATATATTAATACTTGAAAATTGCAAGTAGAAATATTAAATTTTGTTTTTAAATCGTAGGTAAATTTCGGTTTAGCCAAAGCCATCTCCTCTTAATTATAACATTATGTTTTTAAATAATAAACTGTGTGGTACAAAACATTCGTCTGTCTATGTGTAGTCAATACTAACGCCTAAGCCAGGAGTGTACAACTTGCACGACTAAAACCTTAAATATGGTTGCGGGCCAAATTTTAATAACTCAGCGATCCACACCTGACTTCCCCGTATTGTTGATTTCGGCACTTTGCCCGGCTGTTCTGAAACAGGGGAGGGGGGAGGAATAAAACAATGCATAATGCAATGAATCATTTTGGGGTGATCTTTAGTTTCTGAATTTACTAAAAACAAAATCCTTGAATCTAAACTTTGCCTATTTTTACATTAAAGGGGTGTTGCTCTAGAGGCACAATGTGCATGGGACTTTCGCTTGTGATAATAATGTTCAGCGGGCAACCAGTTGGGCAATCTTGGCGTAAACCGTTCAGTCGATTATCTCCAAAATTCCTCGTCGAACTGGAGGTCCAGACATTACTTTTTTTTCTCGAAGAAAGCAAATACTTTTAAAACTCTAGGTGCTCCAAGAGAACACACTTGTTCGCATTATTGGGTGCGGTTACGTAATATATTGCAATTTCTGCCCTCACTAGAGTCCAAACAAATTCAAACGTGCCTGCGACGCAATCTGCAATTATTTTGATACTCACGAACAGTAGCTCTTTTATACTGATATATAATGTGTTATATATACTGTTATGATATTAGCGGCACTTTAAACAGACAAGGATAATTTTACATATAAATTGAATATCCAGAACTAAAGGCCATCCAATATATTGCCTTATGAACGCATGCAAAACTACGGCATTACGTAATGTCGATCTTAAGCATATATATGTATTATTCCTGACTTTAATATTCATAGATGAATGTACCATCTTATTGAACGAAGGGACATTATAACACTAACGTTCAGTAAATAAAGCCTACTTTATCCTTCTCCCAAGTCGCCGTCCAACAATGAAATATACTATTCGGGAAAACTCAAGCTGCATTACCGCAGCATTGCCACGAGAAAGATCATATTCAACATTTGAATTTCCATGATGCACCTTTTCCAATAACTTCCCGTTTCCAAAACAACTATTCTCATCAAATTAATATACAGGTCAATCAATAGCGTCTAATTAATAACTTCACTTTTTAGGGGACGGTGTTTTTCAGTTTAAATTTGTTACAAATATAAATCTAAATAACGTCACGAAAAATTTAATCATCAAAATTAATTTTATTTTTAAACAATGTACACTGGTGATCAATGTTTTCAAATATTTACACCTATTCTATATTTTGTACAAGATTAGATCTGCTCAAAAAATGCACCCTTCTCATTCAATGTCTTAATAAAAAGGGGAAAATGTTTTAAAAGACTAGTAGACAGAAGGAACAATAAAAAAAAATCATGATTTTGTCGACTCTTGTGTTTGTGGTACTTCAGTGGACTGTTGGTTTCTATGAGGAAAGCTGCTTAATATACTAAATTTAAATTTTCTTTTATTACAATCTGCCTAATTAGTCCAAAACTTGTAATATCATCTTATCAGCATAATGTCTCTTGGGTTGATTGCGCCGGTAGCTGTAGGAGCAACCAAAAAGTTTTAATTTCAAACCAAAGCAAACAAGAAAATAATATTGCCCATAAATCACCTTGGCTCATTTTTGAAGTTTCGCTGAAACTTGGTACCTTCAAGTTATGGTGCTCACTTGCTTAAAATTTTGGTTTCCCTCAAGTCCCCACTAGGCAATTTTTCAATGCATAAAAATCATACCTCTAGATATTAATATAATTTAAAGAGAATGCAGAAACCGATTACAATAAACTCTTTTTAATCCCCCTGTCATTAGTAAGGCCCAGAAGTTTATAAAAAATCATATTTTTAATTACGAGTTTTATAATATGCCAGTTATGAAATGTCCACAAAACAAAATCAAACAGAAATTAGATTATTTTATTTAGCGCATTAGTGCATATTCAGTACATTGTGTTAATGCATCATATTTCTGTTACATTTAAATTATTATTCATATTTTATTGTTTTGTCTTGGGTTTTGTCTCCACATATACATGTTGTATTCTCTCTCATACTACTTAACTTTTCTTGGGAACTAATGTTTTAATGGCTTCTTTAGCTTCTCCCAATATTTCATCTGGAATAAGTTCATTGTCATTTATTTGGCACATTTCTTTATCCTGTAAGTCACAACAGTGATCATACATACACAATGAATGGCCACTATAATTGGCCTTTTCAGATGCTATAAGAAGTCATCAAATGTATGCCTTGAATGGAAAAGATATGCTTCCATTTTTCAATGTTTAAATTATTCTATTATGGAAATCAAAAAATATTGAATGTTACAAGTGGATACAGGGGTATAATTGCACTCGTGGTAAATAAGAAAACTCTCCTATTATTGCTCAGTTTCATGAACATACCACTAACACAATTACACCTTTCTTTATCCATTTGTTCGTCAACTACTAAAATAAAAACCTGATGACTAGGCTAACATTTATTATTTAATGTAGTTACTATACATTTTTTCAAATATGGAATAGACAAAACTAATACTATAACTATGTATACTATGCTAATACTTCTGATGACATCTATCTCAGAGCAACTCAAACAAAATTGAGCCCTGATAATAACATTTTGTAGAGAATAAAAGACCTGTGCCACCCACTTTCCGTTAGGTATGGCTTCTGGCTCTCTGAATTTTCTGACAAAATGACCTAATGCACTTAAACCTACAGAGGCACTCATCCAAGATTTACAATTATTTTAAACTTTCATTAATAATGAAAAAATTGATGAAGATATTCTAAATGTGACGCTGTTAAAGGTATGTCGAACTTTTAAGTCATTAATGGTATTTGAACCCTGAGCAAATAGCTTTTGTTTTTGATAAAATTTTAGGCTAACAAATCAAATTGAACACGGCTGCAATGCTCTTGGCTTTTCAGCAAAACGATGAGCTCGGCACGGTCTTGGAGACTGAGGAAGAAAACAAGCATGATGGCAGCATGGTTAAAAGAAAAAAACTAGCTTTCTTTTTGACAAAGAAGTCTATTTCTTCACAACCACTAATCTTAAAGTTCATCTAAATTTTGTACATTCCAATCTGGATGTTTGGAGTTAAGATTAAACAGTTGATATTCAAGTAGAATAAGCAGGTTTTCTACTTGGCACATCTAAGATTATTCTTATGTCTCATGAAGGCAGTGACATTGTCAGCTCTGTTGCAATTTAGTTGTCCACTGGTACGTGGTATTAGTCCCATCCATGCTTTTTGTAGGGGAGTGATATGGTCCGCTACTTTGAACCTTGCAATGTGTATGTATGCTAGTGAGTCTTTTAGAGGGAGAATAGATTATTGTAAAAGGAGTGGGCATCCATTTCCAAATATATTATTAAATCTAATTAAAAGCATATTAGTAATTTGTATCTGATGAGGATCTTGATTATACCAGACTCTAACATTGTAAATTTTTAGTAATATTTTTATTCATTTCGTAAATTCTTTTTTTTTGATAATTTTGTGATAAGGAAGAAATGTGCATTATAATAGTAATTTGTACGCCAAGGGTATTATAAAGGTTGGAATGATCAAGTGGCAACAAAAGGG